TGCGTGTCATTCACTCAAACAGAGAATGAATCACTCAGACTTGAACGCAGACAGACACGTAACCTGTAATTTGTACGCAGGGGAGATCTCCTTTCCATTGCCTCTGGCTTAGTGTGTGGCTTTCCAAAGCACGCAGCAACGTCATTTGTAATTGAATTAACTTTATCCTCTCTGGCAAAATTTCCATATTTAATTCCATTGTAAATAAAGAAATAATAAAACAGGATTTCGATAAAAAGATCAATTAGCTCGCATAGCGTTGAACAGGAAGCTTACCCATCCGAATCCTTCCAGGACTTTTGAGCCAAACCTAGAAGAATGCAGCCACTACATCATCCAAACATGTTTAAGAGACAGCAGCCAGAATCAGCTGAAGTTGCCACGGGCAACTCGAGAAAACCAAGACGACGATAATGTGAGTCATGCCATCATAGAGCTTTTCATTATAAAGCAAGTTGCTGTTCAAACACTTTAAAGATGCAGCCATTCTGCATCCACACGGCCGAGTCGTGTTGATCAAATAAGGTCAAACAGGACTGGAGGCGACCAGCAGAACATGGCCAAGTCCTCGCATATAAGCGCTTGTGCGTGTACGTACACAGAGGCAGAGGGGAGAGCGCTGGCAGAAGCTGAATGTGTTTGCTCGCTCCAGGGGAGAAGGAAAGAAAGGGAGCAGAAGAGCTGAAACAAACGCATGCTGGCTTCTATTAGTCGAGCTGTAGAGCGCAATGAAGGGGTGAGGAAACATATTCATTCCCTCTGCCTCCCCCCCACCCAACAACATCCCCCCAACCCTCCCACCCCATTATATCCATTCTGGAAAGGCGGCGGATGAAAGGGACAACCCCCCAGTGGCAGCACTTCTCTCTCCAAACTTTCGCCGACGCATTCTGACGGCTGCTTAATTGTACGTGATACAGGCAGGATCCTTTCTCTTTCAAATCTAAAACAGATTGCTTCTCCCTGGGGAGGAGGATTATTGGACAAGAGAAATGACAAAGCAGGGACTGTCCAGCCCTCTGGGAGGTGGAGGACAGAGGGGGTGAGCTCGTGCATAGTGTGCTTATGTGTGTAAATAGCTTTTCTGTGTTTGTCTTTTGTACAACCCTGTCCTGCAAGAAGATTATGTTTGTACCCATGTGTTTCAAAAGTGCACACATTATCCAACCTCCCTGCATCTTTTTCCGCTTTAAAACTCTCTCTTTCGTCCCCTCTTTATCACACATTCACACCTCCCTTTTCTCTGATCTTGGCCTCTCCTTTATCTGATCCCGCTTCCACTTCCCCCTCTGTGGCTCTCTTGACCTGGCTTTCTCTTTCTCACTCTAAAGTCCATGCTGCATCTACGTGCAGTGACATCTGAACAAACGCTGCTCTGAACATTACAGAAAAAGCATTAAAACCCTCTCTCTGTCAGTCTCCCTCTCTCACCAAGGATTTACCCATTAAAGTGCACTTTTAGCCACCATTAGCAAACCCGCATTTACCCCAGTTGTGTAAATTCTCAAGCCACAATTGCACGGGCTGAGTCTGGGGTCATTCCTGGCTTTTTTGTCGCTGAACCACCTACTGAACATTTTCTTCATAAAACACATCTTTCCTTTTTGACTAGTCATCAAGGCAGAGGCTCGAGACAAAGGGGATGAGAGCCATAGAAAACAGTAAAGTACTGAATGTGTGTCTGGATTGCTGCTCCTTTTACGGTGTCCTAAATACCACATCAAAGGTTGGAGGGATAAGGAATTCCCTCCAATAATGAGATGGATGTAATGTTTGCATGCCCTGACCTCTCTCATTCAAATAGCAAGCTGAACAAACATATGGGGTGCTATCATGAGCTCCCAAATACCCCCTAAAAGATTTCTTTTGAGATA